TTACGCACGGCGAGCGAAACTCGAGCTACGGAATGTAACCATGCGGCCCGAGCGCAAGCATGCTGCCACGGGATGGTGCCCTGTGGCCTCCAGAGCGGCTGCCCTGCGTAATTCCAGGAAAACTAACTCCACAGCCCTTCCCAACCCTCTTCCGCCGCCTTTCAAAAACTCCGTGCAATTTGAATTAAAAACTTGGACGGAGTGAACGAGGCGATTAAATCCAAAAAGTCCATGCGCACGTGGCTCCACCCCGTAGCCGCACAAAGTAAACACATCCCTCCAAAGTCAAGCGCAACGACGCCGCGCAGCAGTTAGGATGCCAGTTGCAAGTAGAACGGGCGACTGCATAGGGCCCTCCCTCCATCGCTGCATTAACGCCAACTAGCGCCAACTAGCGAACGAGCGAACGAACGAACGACCACAGCGGACAGTTGCCCGGACCTGCTAAGACCAGGTGTGTGAGGCCATTAGGCCATGGCCTAGGATGTGTCAATGTATTCCGGAAGGCGTATGTATTGTCGTGCCCCTCCACGGAGTGCTCGTGCAAGACTGGCCATGATGGAAAAGGCAGGCGACGAGCCCAAGCGCAGATGCCAGCGACGTTGCGCCGATAGCTGCTCCTGAAAAAGTGCCGCCCTGCCGGAGCCCGGCAGGAATCGTCGCCTGCACGCGCGAACCGTCGGACGGGTGGCTCGCGACGAGCCCAAGCGCAGATGCCAGCGACGCTGCGTCAGTAGCTCACCCCGAAAGTGTCACCCGGCCGAAGCCCGGCAGGAATCGTCGCCTGCACGCGCGCGCCGTCGGGCGCCGATGCCTGGATCACCTGCCCCGGCTGCGCGCCCCGAGGCACCATAATGTTCACGACGCGAGGCATCGGCGGCTGCCCACCACGAGGATTCGTCCACACCTCGGGCGCACCGACAATCGTGGGAGACACACTCGGGGCCCCGTCAGCCAACTTGCTGAAGCGCTCCCACGGCCGGGCGATAACCATCTTCGCTGCAAGAAGGGACACCTCCATGAAGAAGGACACCAGAAGCAGCCAGCGGAGGGCGAAAGTTCATGCCGACAGGCTGTTCCGGACGTCGACATCGAAAATGAGACTAATGTCGAAGGCCAGGAGAAGTTTGACTCCACAATTGCTCATGAGTATCATCCACATGATCGGGTAGTGCAAGCCAGTGATGCCTGCAAAGATCCCGAGGCCCACTATGCTTTCGAGATAGGCCCTATCCAAGCCCGTGCAACACTCACCAGCCTTCGTCACGCCGAGCACGCACAGCCCACAAGGTGTTGCACAGAACTGCCCGAGAAGCATGAACAGTATGATCCAAAAGAGGTGCATGAACACGCAGGACGCAAACCACTCGGACTCGGCGCACAGGGTCGCGATACGGAGGCTATCCTCCTCGAGGTCGACTGAGTGGACCTTCACCGATGAGAGTGGTGCCAAAATCATGCCTGGCAGAAACGTCGTCCACAAATTCTTGTAGATACCTACCGCATCCCAGAATCCTCGGCTCGCTGGGTCCCTACTCTTCAGCTCGCTGCACCAAGCATTGCAACAAGTGTCCTTCTCGCGGATATAGAGTACAAGCGGAAGGAAGAGCTTGAGCAGGACCCAGGTGATTATGGCAAAGAACCACACGAAGCCACTGTCGATGTATTCGCTGGCACGGAGAGACAACACAACGTCTCGGCGGCCTGCAAGTACCTTCGTCTCATTCAAGGACGGGAAGCAATCGACCTCGCTGCCTTCGATCAAATCCCACTCAGCTTCAAATGTCGCATCCAGGCTGGCGGCGAAGCTCCCCTGAAATTGGGAGTCGGGCTCGCTGGCGATCCCGAAATGACACCATCTGTCATCCCACGTGCTGTATGTCGCAGGGGTCATGTGAAGCGCCCTGTAGGCCACTACGATCACGGCGACTGACAATAGCATGGACACCGGGCGGCCGATGGCATCGAACCGCTGGAGGGCACTCGATGGGCTGGGCATCCTTCGTGCAAGTGCGAAGACTGGCGAGAGGCACAGCAGTTCGAGCAGGCTTGCGAGTGGACCTTGATTGAGGCTACGGGGGGATCTCTAGGACTCTCTTGGGGGCCTCCTGTGGTGCTCTCAGGGGTCTCTTGGGAACCTTTCGGACGTATCGGAGGAGGTGCTCGAAAGTCCAGTTGGGGCTTCTCCAGGTTCCCTTGCGGTGGGCCTGACTTGCGAGGCAGAGAAATGTCAGGACAGAACTGGAAACAGGGAATCGTATTTTAGTTCCCGCGTGTCTGGCTCCTGCATGACATCTTGCCTCATTGAAACCCGACAGGGTTCCTGAATAGGGTAAGGAGTCACGCAACGGGGAAGAGAGAAAGGGGGAATGGAGCACGGCGAAACGAGATTCGGGCCCGTCTGGGCTGCCTGGGGCCCTCTTGGGCCATCTTGGTAGGCTGGGGCCGTCTTGGGGCGCTATGGGGGATCTCTTGGATCCTCTTGGGGGCCTTCTGTGGTGCTCTTAAAGGTCTTGTATGAATCTATTGGAGCCACCTGGAGCCTCATTTGGACTGTCTTCGGGCTTTTGGTGGCCGCTTGGGCAGCCTTGGGCCGATCTGAGGGTTTTCTTAGAAGCCTTTTGGATAGATCTGGGGCATCACTTGGACTGTCTTGGGGCTCTCTTGGGCTGTCTTGGAGCCCTCTTGGACCATCTTCGGGCTCTCTCGGGGCACTCTTGGGCAGTCTTGGGCCGATTTGGGGGGCCTCTTGGGCCGTCGTGGACGCTGTGCATACCACTACGGGGACATGCTACACGTACTACCTAGGGGAATGGCGTGACTTGCGCCTCTTCGGGGTCCTCTTGGGGGGCCTCTGGGGCCGTCTTGAAGCTACCTTGAGTGCTCTATGAGCGATCTTGAACCGTCTTGAGTTCCCCAGGGCCTCTTGAAGCGCGCCCGAGGTCGCAACTGCAAATTTACGGGCGTCCTCCGCCTTCTTCTGCCGTCTTCCGCAGGCCATCCGGCCCTGACTGGGGCAAGATTTTGAGGGGTGACCTCCCAGGCCCCCAGGAGAATAGAGATGACGATGAGGATGACAATGACGATGATGACGGTGACGACGACGATGACGATGACGATGATGATAGCGATGACGATGATGACGTCAACGTCATCGTCATCGTCATCGTTATCGTCATCGTCATCGAATGGGAGCCGCTCCCCAGTCGGGGACGTACTAAACCGGGTCAATCCAAACCCGGGTCAATCAGACCTTGCAGCATCCTGCAAGATTCCGTAGGACCTTGCAGGATCCTGCACCCAAACCCGAGTCAATGCGCCCCTGGCTCCGCAGGATCCTGCAAAATCCAGCGCTCTGACTGACCCCCGTTTGCATTGATCCCCATCTCTTGAGCCCCGACGCAGGTCGGGAACAAAAACGCCAATTGAAAAATCAGCCTGGCGACGAACCCAACCACACGCATTTGTGAATACCGCAATTGTGAGTACGATCTGAGGTGAAACTCCCTATGGGGCAACGCCCGGATGCGGGCTGTGCCGCTGAGGCCTTCGGTGGAGCTCCCTGTGGAGCCAAGAAAGTGTGGCGGGCGTGCCGAAACGGGAGTGTCACCCAAACGCGGACTGCGCCCCTGAGGCCAGAGGTGGAACTCCCTGTGGGGCCACGAAACGTTCGAGGGGTGTGCCAGAAAAAAAAGGAGTCGCCCATATGCGGGCGGTGCCACTGGGGCCTTAGGTGGAGCTCCCTATGGGGCCAAGACTGTGTGAGGGATGTGCCGAAACGTGGATGTCGCCCAAATGCGAACGGTGCCACTGGGGCCTTACCTGGAGCTCCGTATGAGGCCACGACACGTGCATGTGGTGTGCCGAAACGGAAGTGACGCCCACATGCGCGCGGTGCCACAGGCCTTAGCTGGAGCTCCCTGTGGGGCCACGACACGTGTGCGGGGTGTGCCGAAACGGGGGTGACGCCCACATGCGAACGGTGCACTGGGGCCGCAGGTGGAGCTGCCCATGGGGCCACGACACGTGTGAGGGGTGTGCAGAAACGCGGGCGACGCCCACATGCGAACGGTGCCACTGGGGCCGCAGGTGCAGCTTTTTATGGGACCACGAAGCGTGTGAGTAGTGTGCCAGAAAGGGGGTGACGCCCACATGCGAAAAGGTGCCATTGGGGCCGTAGGTGCAGCTCCCTGTGGGACCACGAAGCGTGTGAGTAGTGTGCCGAAAAGGAGGCGACGCCCACACGCGAACGGTGCCACCTGGGCCTTTACTGGAGCTGCCTATGGGGCCACGACACGTGTGAGGGGTGTGCCGAAACGGGGGTGACGCCCACATGCAAACGGTGCCACTGGGGCCGTAGCTGCAGCTCCCTGTGGGGCCACGGCACGTGTGAGGGGTGTGCCGAAACGGGGGTGACGCCCACATGCGAACGGTGCCACTGGAGCCTTGGCTGGAGCTCCCGATGGGGCCACGAAACGTGTGCGGGGTGTGCCGAAACGGGGGTGACGCCCACATGCGAACGGTGCACTGGGGCGGTAGGTTGAGCTGCCTATGGGGCCACGAGACGTGTGAGGGGTGTGCAGAAGCGGGGACCACGCCCTCATGCCAACGGTGCCACTGGGGCCGTAGGTGCAGCTCCCTATGGGGCCACGGAACGTGTGGCGTGCCGAAAAGAGGGTGACGTCCACATGCGAACGGTGCCACTGGGGCCTTACCTGGAGCTCCCTGTGGGGCCACGAAACGTGTGAGTAGTGTGCCGAACAGGGGGTGACGCCCACATACGCACGGTGCCACCTGGGCCTTAGCTGGAGCTGCCGATGGGAGCACGACACGTGTGAAGGGGCGTGCCGAAACGGGACGACGCCCACATGCGAACGGTGCCACTGGGGCCGTAGGTGCAGCTCACTATGGTGCCACGAAACGTGAGAGGGGTGTGCCGAAAAGGGGGTGACGCCCACATGCGAACAGTGCCACCTGGGCCTTTACTGGAGCTGCCTATGGGGCCACGACACGTGTGAGAGGTGTACCGAAACGGGGGTGACGCCCACATGCAAACGGTGCCACTGGGGCCTTAGCTGGAGCTCCCTGTGGGGCCACGAAACGTGTGAAAGGGGGGCCGAAAAGGGGGTGACGATGACGATGGCGATGACGATGGCGATGATGATGATGGTGATGATGATGATGATGATGATGATGATGATGATGATGATGATGGTGATGATGATGATGCTGATGATGATGATGATGCTGATGCTGATGCTGATGTTGATGATGATGGTGGTGGTGGCGATGATGATAATGATTATGAAGATGGCGATGATGATTATGATGGTGATGATGGTAGAGATGCTGATGCTAATGATGTTGATGATGACGATTGTGATGATGATGCTGCTGATTATGATGATGGTAATGATGGTGATGGTGATGGTGATGGTGATGGTCATGGTGATGGTGATGGTGATGGTGATGATGATGATGATGATGATGATGATGATGATGATGATGATGATGATGATGATGGTGCAGGTGATGATGCTGATGATGATGATGATAATGATGATGACGACACGCGAAGAGCAGAGGCAGGGATGGGAGGAAGGAGGGGGAGGAGGAGTGAGGAGTGAGACGCGGGGCGCTGTCTCTTCAAAGCGAGGGCCCAATACCATAGTATGGTTGGGGAACAAAAACACCCTGCCAGAGATCTGGGCCCCCCCATGCGTCTGCCTGCGGTCGGGGAGCTTTTGCAAAGCGTCGCCGCGGCCGCCCTGGCGACACGCTATCTCCTGCAAACGGGTAGCGCGTCGCTCCGCTCCGCGGGGCGGGAGGCTCGGAAATGGGACGCACAGAGACATACTAGTACCATATATGCTCCTTGGAGGCGCGCGTCCGACCCGAACATCTAGTGTACCCATCTTGTAATATATCATTTCCCGAGCGGTGTGGCCAGAAAGTACATGTCACGACGCATATACTATAAGATTTGTCGGTGCGCGCGTCGCCCCTGGGGGGGTGACGCACACATAGTATCAGTATGCTGGAGTACCGCCGAGGAAAGGCTCGGAACAACTGGCGCCTGGAAGCAAAAACGTGGATGGCGTGGCGCCCCGAAGCGCGGTGGGCCAGAACCAGCGGAGCGACACGCTGTCCAAGAGTTACCGACCGTTGTACCACCCCCCGCGGATCGATGGTCGAGGACTGTGGTTCCCCGCTTTTCTTTTTGAGAAGGGGGGGGCTTTCTGTCGGCGGCGAGCCCAGGGGGAGGTGGGAAGCCTTGTAACCCCTCTCCGGAGCCACAGACGGCTTCTCAGAAGGTGCGAGGGCTTCTGAGAGGCCCCGCCGCCTTCTGAGAAGGCCTGGCCGTATCCCCAGGAGGAGGAGGAGTAGGAGGAGGAGGAGGAGGAGGAGGGGAAGGAGCAGGAGGGGTGGAGGAGGGGGAGGAGGTGGGATGTGAGGATGAGGAGGACCAGTAAACCTAAGAGTCATCAGCGATGTTGGAATGCACCCTCCCTCCAAGCTCCCTCTTCATAGGCCCTACACGGGCTCATTTCCACTGAGGGAAGTGCGCCATGGGGGGAACAATCGTGTGAAAATCTTGACGCGTGCCAAAACACCAATGTCAGGACTTCAACGCCACGAGTTAACCTGATTGTTGCGTCCTGACGATCCTGAATCGCGCCAGGGCGCCATTCCTGGGATTTCAACACCGCGAATCAAAGTAAGTGTTGCGCCCTGACAACCCTGAATCGCTCCCAAACTCGATTTCTGGAATGTGAACCATGAGAACCCGTGAAATTCTTCTAATTTCTTGAAACGCATTTGCGCAGCACTAGGGCGAGAACTTCATTTTGAAAACGAACCGCCTCAACCTGGAAGTTCTTGCACTTGTCTGGAAATGAACGTGCGCGGCGCTCAAGCAAGAACCACATTTTGAAAACGACCTGTCCTCAATCCGTAAAGCTGTTGCTTTTTGTTGAACACGAATGCGCGCGGCGCAAAGGCGAGAGCCACACTTTGAAAACGACCCGCCCTCAGTCCATGAAGCTCCTCAATGTTCTGAAAGCGAATGTGCGCGGCGCTAAGGCGAGAGGTCCGCCCTCCATCTGTGAA